AAAATTCACTTACCCCTGCCCTGAAGAATGGTCTGTAGAAAGCCAAAGTGTTGCAAAAAAAGCTCTGGGAAGGTTCTGTGCTGCATTAGAAGCTGAAACCTTTTAAAAACAATATTTTAAAATCTCCTGTCCAACTGCACTTAAAACACCTCTTAAAGAAAAATATATCAAAATATTAGTCAAACAATAAGAATAAAGTATTTTTACAAGAATGTATGTTTATTCCCATCTATTTAGAGTTGGGAAATTTACAGCAGTGCTCAGATACTTTTCAATTGTGGCTAATTAAAATAAATATAGCACTCTTCATTTAGCCATCCAAATAAGACGGTTAATTTCCAGGGGCAGTGAGTATTTACAGCTTCTATGTATAGCCTAAGTATAGTACATGTTTAGTTCTTTGAGCTGAGCTTTGTAAACAAATATGAGCCAAACTGACACCTTGAGGATCAGCAGGAGTTCCAATTAATGGGAGACCCACTGCTGCTAAAATTTGCCACAGCTACTTTGAATTCAAAGAGGTTCTGACAATTTACGCCAGCTAGAGGTCTGATGACTGTAGCTTAAAATATTTATATAGATTGAAAGCTGTTTTGCAGCAAGATATTCCAATTACAGTATGCAAACACTTCTTGGCATAAGTAATTAAATATATATTTTGCCTGTGTAAAAACAACAGCAGTTGACCTGGGATTGCAACTCAGCTTGTTTCTCCGTTTTACACAAAGATTTGCTGTAAATAAAAAACACATAAAATTGTCCCTAGAGAATTGGTTCATATTGGTTCAGTACACAGTCTTTAGCAGCAGCAGAAATGCTAGTTTCTCCCAGCTCTGAGCTATTTTTTGCTATTTTTGCTAACTACCTAATCCTGTTGTCATTGAGCAGTGCATTTTTATTTTTTTTTTAAAGCACAATTTTTCTTGCTGGTTCCAGCATCAGCAGGATTTTGTGAATAGGCTGCTGGAGTCCAACACCTGCAAGTCAGAATACATGTTTTAAAGGCTTAGAATCATAGAGTCATAGAATAGTTTGGGTTGGAAGGGACCTTTAAGATCATCTAGTTCCAGCTCCCCTGCCATGGACAGGGACACCTTCCACTAGACCGGGTTGCTCAGAGGCCCATCCAACCCAGCCTTGAACACTTTCAGGGATGGGGTATCCACAATAATGCTGGGTAACCTGTGCTAGTGTCTCAGCAAATCCCTCACTTGAGTAATTTTTTTCAAAAGTGTCTGAGACCTCCAGACACTTTTGCAGGAATTACTCTCATGATAAGCTTAGCCCACTGCCAAGTGCCTCAAAACTCTCTTTCACCTCTGAAACATTAGTAACCCTGAGCCATTTATGGTTTTTACATAGTTGAAATTGCTGAAAGAATTTACAGTAATATTTTTAAAGTTGAAATGTGTAAAGTGAGCATGTGTAAGTACATCCCTCTCCTCCACATAATGCTTTCAGATGGGCCAACATTCACCTCTGGCATGGCTGGCAGAAAGCTTTTTGCTTTTTACGCCTTAGGTGAAGCAGACATCAACAGCTTTTGTTGCAGCAAGATGCATGGATACTGCTTCACCTGCCTCTCCAGTAACTTCTAAGTTTAGGGTGCCCAAGCCAAAAAAAAAAAATTACAGTATTGGCACAGACAGGTCAGGGTTTCATGGCAAATCACAGCATGTGGTCCAGTGCCAGGCAGAGGTTCCATCTGTGTTAGATAGGCACTGCTGAAAGTCAGGGAGTAGCAGCTTGAGGTGAGGGTCACAGCAGAGAAGATCTATCATGCCTCATGCTGTCCCACTCCTCTCCTACTTAGACTGCATTAGTGCAAGCCTCTTGCAATGACATTATATTTTGTTACCCAGGCATGTGTTGAAACTCCTTATGTCTCTCCATCTCAAGAAAAAGCCAAATGCTGCACAACTGATCTTATTGTTTTGCAAATGGATGTTTAACAGGACTGAAAATATTATTCGCCATTACTAATCTTGGCCAGAGGATTCAAATTTTCCTTTATATAATCTCTTAATCATATTTGTAAGGCATTTAAAATTTATGCTTCTGAATGCCACAGAGGGACTATTTTCACCCAGAATGAGGCTAGGTAAACATGCAATTCAGTGTTTATTGAATAGAAATATGGTGTGGTTCCTTGTAACTGAGAAAGCTGTTTCTTCTTTACATCCACCTCAATCCCTTAGATATCACTGATGGATTACTAGAGAGCCTATTAAGAGCACCAACTCCGGCTACCTGATGCAGAAGAAGATTTTACTGTATCAAAACCTTCCAGAACAAAGCGGGTGGCATCTGTTTCATCAGATTCTAATTTTTCACTCCATTCAACATGTCCCAGCAGCGCAGAAATATTGTACCTTCGACTGAGCATTTCACAGCTTTCTTCTGCAGGAAGACCCAGTCCTAGGTTGAATCACCTACCCCAGAAGAAATGTTACTGTGATATCCAAAAGGAGTCAGAACTTATTGCTGAATCTCACTACAAACCATGGAAGACAAAATATCCTGCTGGGCTAACTACAAATATTGGTTTTTCTGGTTCCTCACCAGCCTCATATCTCAATGTGCTGTATAAATGTATGTTCTATTTTGTGGGTAGCAGGACATAATAACAAACACAAGATTTTAGTGCAATATTGAAGATAACTGGAATTTTTGCATATTTGAGTCAAATCTGGAAATATTTGAAAATATTTCACTCTCAGACTTCTCCAGTTTTTCATTAATGTAAGGCTGAATCCATCACTTATGAACATATAATGATGGGTAAGAAGAGCTGAATCTGAAATGGTCTTTGCTTGTTTTCTACTCCTTGTGATATGTTTATGTATTTTCCCTCTTGCAAGCATCAGGATCTCAAAAAGAGCACCTGAATAGTGTAAGATGTCTTTAAGACTCAGCAATGGCAGAAAAACATCAGGAGTCACAATAGAGTGACTTCTACAAGCAAAAGTGTACAACTGAGCATCTCCACATGCCTTTTTCATAAACTACTAATCATCAGCTTATGATTCTCCATGAAAAAGTGATAAAAATCCTCTATCCTAGCTAATATTTCTGAGATGTCCTCAGAGATAAGTCATACAAAAGGAGTTGCATTTAACCACTTTCAGGGTGACAGATATAGGTATCTGTGGCAAGAGCTGCAGTGAAAGAAAAAAACCCAACTTCTGCCATCTTCCCAGCAACTGCATTTGGGGGGAAAAAATACTACTGCTGTTCTCAGGAATTCATGGAGTGATCACATTCAGTTGAATTCATAAAAAGAAACACGGCCAGCAAGTCAAAGGAGGTGATTCTGCCCCTCTACTCCACTCCCATGACTACCTCCATCCAGCTCTGGGGACCCCAGCACAGGAAGGACAGGGACCTGTTCGAATGGGTCCAGAGGGGGGTGAAAAATTGATCAGAGGGATGGATCAGCCCTCCTGAGAGCTGGTTGAGACAACTGGAGTTGTTCCGCTTGAAGAAAACTAGGCTTTGGGAGACCTTATCAAGGCCTTTCAATATTGTAAGGAGGGTAATAAGACAAATGGGAACAAAGCTTTTGAGTGGCCCTGCTAAAACAAAACAAGGAACAGTAGTTTCCAGCTAAAGGAAGGCAGATTTAGACTAAAAGAGGGTAAACTTAGACTAGGCATAAGGAATAAATTTCTTAGAATAAGGCTGGTAAAACTCTGGAATAAGTTGTCCAGAGAAGTGTCTCATTCTTGGAAATATTCCAGGTCAGGGTGGTCTGTGCTCTGAGAAACCTTCTCAGTCCCTGCACATTGCAGAAGAGTTGTACTAGATGACCCCTAAGTGTCTCTTCACACCCAAACTATTCTGTGATTCTATGATTCTGTGGTTCTATTTACGTCTATATCTTTATTTTAGGAACAAGCCTTTATTTTAGGAACAAGCTTGTTCTGTTCCTAAGGTACTGCTCCTAACCTTTTGCCTGTCTGGTTAGACCTTTTGGCCACCAAGCCCTAGTCTCATCTTAATGAGAATGAAGCATGATATGATTGTGAAGCCAGATACCATCAGCCTTCTGTGCAGTACTAAAAGTGCTGCAATACAAGCAAGCTCTTCAATAACTTTTTCCTAGTAAGAAATGTGTACTCCACATGGGAAAGCTGTAGGGCAAAACTGCTGTTTGCTTGTGAGGGAATTCATCCACTGACATCAATGTCCATGAAGTTATTAATGAAACATGGCCACTATGCCAAAAGCTATTGGCAGCACAGAAATCAGGATGGATTCTTGACTTTTATGGCTGCCATAAACAGATCACTAATTCATGAGATTTGTACAGTTGATGCAATTTTGGCAGGTCTAAACTTAGACTGAGAGGAGACATGAGGGATTTCTGTAACATTACATTCATGCTTCTTTGTGCCTCCATATGGATGTTTTTCATAAAGGCAATAAATGGAAAAATTCCAGCTAAGACATGTTTTCTTAAGCTTTGGTCTACTTATGATGCAAGCACTTTGAAGTTCATTACTTTAATAAGAATCAGAGACTGAAAGACAAAAAATCAGGGGAAAAAAACCAATTCCCAGGTAGGAACTGAAGCTGCAACTGCAATGCAAACAACAAAGAACACTGCAAAACTTGTGCCCAAGTGAAATGCTGGCTTGTGTTTTGCCTAATGGCAGATCAATATTATACAAATGAAGCAATTACAGTTGTGCCATATAAAGCCTTATTTGGTCAGCAGCCAAAATGGGGATTAGCTGGAAGAGTTCCTAGGACTTTCTGTCTGAATATTATTGCAGAAGTTAATGAGGAATATCTGATATGCTTAGACAAACATAATGAGTGCCAGCAACCAGATGAGATGGTTGGTCCAATAGCCAATGTGCTGATAATTAAAATGCCCTGAAGCCAGCTGAACAGCAGCCCAAGATCAGGTGAAATGATCACAAGGGCAATCCGATCCCTCTGGCAACCAGCTATATGATGTCACCATCAATACATCCATGTACACAGCAGCAAACTCTCCACCTTCCCCAGCATGGAAGCAAGTTCCACCTAAGCATGGAGCGCCTTCACTTTTGCACAGCTCTGTGTCCCTGTACTGCCACTTGTGGTGGTGAAGGAAAGGCCACACTCAGCTCAATACAATGGTTCTGCCAGGACTTTACTATGTCCCACTCATTCTCATCCACTACACCACCTGGTCCAGTAGAAGGTGTTCCTGCCCATGGCAATGGATTGGAAACAGATGATCTTTAAGGTCCCTTCCAACCCAAACCAGTCTCTGAAATGCAAATATAGCAGCTCTCAGACCAGCTGGACCAAGCACAGTCATCAATATGGTAACACATGCTTGTAAAGTTTCAAATACAAGCAGCCAGGCTACAAAGAAAACACAATACTAAAGGTACTAATAGATCTCCACAGTGGATATGGAGATACAAATAATGTAATTACTGTTGTCCTGAACACTTGCCCATGTGCCAATTTTAATTAAAAAATCATACAGAGTAGGGTCCACTCATGATGGAGATTTTTGCTGTTGCTTTCTAAATGGAACACAAAACATGTGGTCATAGACCACAGACTGTTTCAGAAACCATTCGCTGAAGTTACAATTTCCTGGTTGTTTTCTTTCCAGATCAGTTTCTTTGACCAAAGACCCCGAGAAATCTACCATCATGTTTATCACATCTCCATGGATTTGAAATAATCATACCAACATCTGGAGTGGGAATGGGCTTCAAATATCCACAGCACAATAAACACAATGCTATTAATCTTCACTGTTCCTCTGAGGCTGATGGGCAACTGTCATTACCCTCAATTTGCAAAGGTGGATCTGAAGTAGAAGGTGCACAGACCTCCTCCAAGACTCCCAGGAAATCTGAGCAGGGTCATTAACTGAGCTCACCAATATGACACAATTTCAGGCAATCAAGCTTCGTTGCTTCTCAGAAATCTCTGGGTCTTTTTGGGCAATCATTCATAGAGAATTTATCCTTCTGGTCTCCCAGAGACAGACTAAACTTAAACTTCTGTGTGTATTTCCTCAGTTCAGTCTTTAACCACAATATACTCCTAATTTTTCCTGTCAAAAGTGGGGGACAGCCAACCTGAGTGGCCTGACTCCCATAACACACATTTTGACCCACTCAGGCGTTCCAAAAATATCCATGCTGTCAATCACCCAGCAGCTGTATAAATCTGCTTAGGAAGTTAATTGCTCCTTTTTCCTGGCCAAGAAGAGGTATGAAGTTCTGCCACTTACTTCACTGACTTCAGATTCTCTCACTCTATTTTGCTTTTCCAGCAAGAAAATTTTATTCAGATGAGAATGTTTGACATTTAATTCACAGAAATTGTAACTAAAGCCTAGTGGTCAGGAGAAGACCTTCTACCATGAAGGAAACAGAAACATCACTTTCCCTAAGTTATTGCTTATGTTTATTGCAACTTTCCACTTTCCAAATACTCCTGTAGCTTCAGCAAATTCAATGGGATGGTGAAGATATCCTTATCACAGCCATAATTTTCAAGAAAGAATCATAGCACAGTGCAGTCTGGAAAGTGCCTAAGGAATTGTCTGGTCCAACCTCCTGCTCATACAAGGGTCAGTCCTGAGATCAGACCAAGCTACTCAGGGCTTCAACCAGTCATGTTTTGCACACTTCCAAAGATGAAGCCTGCATAGCCTCTCTGAGCAGAGTGTCATTGTCAGACTGCCCTCAGGCAGTCAGTTCCTCCCTACATCCAGTCTGAACTGCTCCCCTTTCATTTTATGTTCGTGGTCACTGACCTTCCTGCCCTACATTGCTGTGAAGAGTCTGGCTCCATCTCCTTGAAGACCCCCCTGTAGACACTCTGGGCTGTTCCTAGGATACTCCAAAACCATCTCTGCTCCAGGCTGAACAAGTCCAGCTCTCCCAGACTCTCCTCAGCTGAGAAGGTTCAGATCCATATCTAGCTCTATCTTGGTCATCTTCCATGAAATAGGTTCAATTTATTGATGTTTTTCTTAACTGAGGAGCCTGAAAAAAAGGGATGTTGTGTTCTAGATGCAGTCTGAATGTTTGCAATTATTTTATCTAATGCAACAGTGTCTTCTCTTGTGGCCTACAAATTGAAAGAACTAAAAGCACTCTAATTGGAAACTGCTTTGGATAATTGCCCACTATCTAAAAGAGATGCCAAAAATAGCAGCCTGCTTATTTAACTGTGACAGGAAAAAAAATCCTAAATCCTCAAGAAACTGTGATGACTTTCTGTTCACTTTCAACTACACTTTCATAGACTGAGTTTGCATTATTTAAACTGAAAAGTCAAAACTAATTGTCAAGTGTTCATGTGGTTTTAAACCAAAAAAATATTATCAGCAGGTATAGAATATAATCAGAATAGTATCATATACTGTATAAAACCTGAGGCACTGGATCATAGTAAATGCAGAGCATCTGAATGTTGGTTAGTCCCCTAGCTTTGGAAGAGGGCATTTTCTTTTTATTTAAAACCAATGAAGAAATGAGCATCCTCCTAATCCTGTCTCTTCATATTTTTTGTTGCAAGCAGTAAATTTCTTGAGGAAATCTTAAAATTCAAAATTTGTTGAAAATGTAAAAATGTGAAGAATTGTCTAGTAATGTGTACATTTAGGCACATGAAATATGGACGATTTGGATTTTCTAGAAAAAGCTGAGATTTTCTGTAGGAAATAACTAGATCCCATGAATTTTTATGTAGGCTTAAGAGTTTTAAGATCCAAAATAGACCTAAATCACCTAAACGACATAGCATAAAATGTGTGAAATCAGGTGCCTGCATCCGCATCAAAGAATCCAAAATCTAATTCTACATATAAAAGCCTCTTAAAGACATAGCTACAAATCTGGGCCACACTAAATGGAACCATATCAGCAACAGATTGGAAAGAGCCTGATGTGTAATTATGTTCAGGGAAAGCTGTACATATTCTGGAGATAACAGATGGGCTGCCAGATGTTGGGGCTGCTCTCACCTGCAGGCCTCATTCATCCCTGCTGCTAGTAATGGAAGATCTGGAAGCTAGCAAGGGATCTGGATCTTCCTGCACAGAGATGATATTCCTGAATAAGAGGGGAGAAAAAACGTACTAAGAAAGCTCTATTGTGTGCTGGAGGCAGATTATTATTTTCATGTGTTATTTCAGAGTAGAAAGAAGTACCTGAAGTGTAGCAATAAAATAGGTCTCTGCATCAGGTCAGGCTGGATCACTTTTATCCAGTTGACTTTTGGCTTTAAAAAACTGCGGGGATAATTTTAGTCAAACTATGACTACAGAAAACTGCCAATCCTGCCAATAACTTTTAAAAGAGAGTCATAAGAAAAGAACACATAGCATTGCTTAGCATAATGGGATTTGCTAAAAGATATAGTTAAATAGGATCTAAATCCTTTTTCAGGTTTGTTTTAAGCTTTCACTCTGACTTGTTTGGACTAGGAAGCAGAGGAAGGAAAATAGAAAACAGGAGTAAGGCATCGAGTTATAGAAGTACAGAGATGTGAGCGAAGGATAGCTAGAGATAGTTGAGAAAAAGAGCTCTAGTTTTCATTCTACCTCCTACCAGACACAAAGCAGATCAGTTAATAGGAAAAATTATTGATAAGCCATAAGTCACCATTTTGTTGAACAATATTTTAGACTTGAACTGTTCAGTGAGATATACATATGGCCATTTTTACTTGGAACCTGAGCTCCTTGGAAACATGCTGATGATGGGAAAGAGCTGCATTTTAGAGCTGTTGTGTCAAGACACAAGTAGCTTAAATTATACATTAAAACTTCTGAATCTTGTTTTGTGCTGTCAACACCTTTCTACCTTTCATGCTGGGTTGTTCAGTCCATAATGCCTACTCTGTCACACATTGTGCCGGTCTGAGATATCGTTCTCAGTTCAAAGCAACCACAAGAAAGAAAAAAAGCACAAGTAGGAAAAAAACCACAAGTAGGAAAAAAAGCTTTTCTCCCTACTTTTGGTTGGAGATTTCTCACAAGAATCAAGGCTGCACAAAGATTAAATGGCCATTTTATATCTCTTGGAGTCCATCTAGTACTTACTGTCAATTGGAAATGGGCAGTTTTGCAACTATCACACAGACTAATCACAAACTGTTTTTCAGGTGCTATTTGTACCCTAAATGTCATTTCCACAGAGAGGTATTGTTGCACTCTGCTGAGATGCCTTTCAGCAGCCTGCTCCCTTGCTTCAGTCTACGTACAATTTACCTGAACAATTATTATCCTAGTGGGATAGGCCTTTAAGTTGTTGGGAACTGTACCATCAACTTCAAAGGGCAGTTCCTGGGACTTGACACCTGAATGGCCAGAGAGTTGTAATAAAAAGAAAAGAGAGAAATCATAATGAGCAGCATTGTTAAAATATAAAGGGCTGCATCTTGCCCTCTGCTGAGGTGCTTTACAAGGGATTGAGGAAATGGCAGGGAAAAGGGCAGGAGAAAATTATTTCTGAAGTGCCAAGAGGCAGCATTTATTTCTCAGGGGATCTATAGACTGGAAACAACCATAACCTTTTGTATTCCACTGGAATACAGTGGGGATTAATGCTTATCAAAGGTTTGTAAAAGTCCAGAAAATCAGTAAGATGTGTGCACAGCAATGGTATCAGTATTTTTGAGACATTATGGCCCTTGCTGATAGTCTGAGGTAAGTTCATTGGTTATACTTGAATATAAGCCCCTCTTTACTTGTCAGAGAATTTAACAGTCTGACAAATTTCATTTGGGTAGATTTGTTATTGTGAAGCTCCCATCCTGTTTGCATTCAAACAATTGTGAAACAGACAAGCAAGAAAAGAACTCTGATCTTTTTGTTTCTTTGATTTCTTTCTGATTGTAGAAAACAAACCTGTTATTCAACTTTTCCTGGTGCTTACTATCTCATATTGGCCCAATGGTTCTGTAAGATAGTAAAGAAATATTTAGTAATCACTAAATATCAGAATGAGAAATCTCTTGCATAAATAGCTCGTAAAAATATTTTTGCAAAAAAGCCTCATTGTGCTTTTAAGCAAATACTAAAGAGTAAGATACAGAATGGTAGCTTCACCTTTGCACTGATTATACTGCTAATTTAAAAATACCTATGGCCACTGAAATGTTTAGGGGAAATAAAAACAACAAAACCAACCTTTCTAGGAAATAGTTTTACTGCTGTTTCCATGCTCTGTTCTTTCACTCCTGCTCAGAAACACTTCAATTCACAACTTTTCTCACTAAAATACCAAGACTTTCCTTTGAGGAAGGAGCAGGATGATACTAGCAGAGAGGCACCAGAACCTGACAGTGTGACCAACATGGGAGCTAAGTTTCTTGGAAGAGCTTTTCCTTCCATCAGTTGCTTCTACTGTCATTTGTAGTGTACGAAAGCAGAAATGGCAGCAGAACAAATTCCTGTGACTTTAGATTTCTCCTCCAAACCACAGACAGCTTTGTTCAATTATGAATCGTCCCTGAAGTCTGAGAGTGAAAACTTCCTGCTAGTGGCAATGAAGAAACAGGCTCTGTGACGCAAGGCAGGTCAGAGACGGCTCTTTGAAGTACTTGAAAGATAGAGTGATTTTTTTCTCCCTCAGGTCAGAGAATATTCAGCAAGTGCAGAATCATAGACATTAATGAGTTGTTTTCTTACAAAGAGACAAGTATCAGAAATTATCTCAATAGCACTGCTGTTTGGTGACTTAAATGAGAATTATTACAATTTCCTTCCTCTATAAGTAAAAATTGCAAGAAT